TTTTAACTTCTGACAAACTGACTCTGTCCATATCGTAGTTTCTCGTCTGGCTGGAAAGGGGAAACATCAGGCCACTTTTCATTCTGGGTATCCTAATTTTAGGCACCCTCTGTTTCTTCCAGGCGCTGTTCAGATGCTTTCCACCACCTTCATTGGCTGCATCAAAATGTTTGTCCCCTGCTGTCTTTATCAGCACAAGAGCCGTCTCTCCTACCCTCCGAATTTCATCATGATTATGCTTTTCGTTGGACTGATGCGGTAAGGCCTGGGCACATTTGGGGAAACCGAGTCACTTCTTCATTGGTGGATGCCTGTCTTTCTTGCCCCCCCCCCCTAAATCCAGATCTGTGTTGTGTTCCCCCTTGGAGAAAACTAAATTAATTGGTTTTGTTAGCATTTTTTGGAGGAATCCTCCGGGACAAACATTGGAGAATTTCCTTTTTTTTTAAAAAAAAGTTATCAATCTGCTCTTGCATTGGCTCTTTTAAAAAGCCAGATTTCTCCACCTCCGAGCTTTTCAGATTGTTCTGACCCAAACTTTGTTCCAAGGAAACAAACACCAAACAGAGGTAACAGCAAAACCTTTTAATGATTCTCAACGAATTCTGTTCCTTCCCGATTAAAAGGCTGTTTCAAGCTAATTGTCTCTGATAAGAACAAGCCTTGCCAAGGTGGTGCAAGGCTCCCAAGAACACTAGATAAAGTTGCCAAGAAATATTCCAAATGCAAAGAGTCTCCAAACACAAACTAAGAGAGTCTGAATGTCCACAAGGCTTGAGTGCAAAAAACTTCTTTGCTTCCTGCAAAGAACTTCGGTTTCTCAGCTGGCTTTTATCTCTTAAGGGAGGGGCCATTACCTTGCAGCCTTACTCCCAAGTCAACCATGCTACTGCAGCTTCAAGTAGCCCTGCATGCATGCACACTGGGCACAGGCTCCTCAGGGACCTCTTCATCACTGCTGCCAGCCTCCACAATCTCTGAAGGCAGCTTTTCACTCCCTGATGGTCCTGGCCCCATCCCTGCATCCCATGCAGGCCCCTCATCTGAGTCCTCGCTCTCCGAGAACTCAGCCATCCTCACTTGCTGCTGGAGAACCACAACACAGATATTTCTGGACTACATCTCTATAATTAGCTATATAGATCAATCAGGGGTGGGGGGGGAAACCCCAGATTTATAGATTTAACTACTGGATAAAACTAAAGTCTTCCATTGCTAAGAACTTTGTTTTTCTTCTGGGAACGGTTTGGGTCAAAGAAGAAAATAGTTTCCTGGGTGTGTTTGGGCTGCTGCAAAGTTAAACTGCCTTCCCCCCCCCCCCCCCCCTTGTTGCTTCTCAGGTTTGCAACTGTGGTTTTGGGGCTTGTCAGCTTGAAGAACGTGGCCGTTTCCTTTGCCGAAACCGTGAAGAGCTCAGCACCAATTTTTACCGTTATTATGTCGCGTATGATTTTAGGAGAATACACCGGTACGTTTTTGCTGAAATCAATATCCCTCAAACGTGAAACCGAGTGTAGGATGTAGGTGAGGTTTTGATATTCCAATCTTTGGAGCTATTTTTATTCATGTTCAGGGAAAGCTTCCTGCACAGCCTGAATACCTGGTTGCTACAGACAATCAGAAATTCAGCCCAGGTGAGTTTTTGAGCTGATAGTCACTCCATTATTTGCCAACCCTTCAAGGTAGGCTACAAGAAAACAGATTCCTCAAGAAAGACTAGAACTTTATTGAAACAGACAAATAGTGTTTGGCTCTTGGAAGCTTGGCTGTGTTTTCCCTCCCTTTTAGACCCCAAGAATTTAAAACAGTGCCAATTTGAGTTTCTAATGTTTTCTTCTTTCTCCCGGATTAAAACATGTTTTTGGGAATTGTCATCTCACTTCCACTGGCCTGTTCGATGTTTGTGTCATCCTATAAGGGACATTTCCTGCACCAGCACTGTAAAAAATGCAAGATCTCCCCATGTCCCATCTCCAGTCTCCTGGCAAAAGGCATCTACTTGTTCAGCCATCTTGGCTGCCGATCTGACTTTCACGTTGGAAGCAAGTTGCAGGCATCCTTCACTCCTCCAGATGTTGCTCAGCGTCCTCTCCCAGAAGTCCTCACTGGAAGAACTGCTCACTGACATCTGGAAGAGCCTATCCCTCCATATCATCGAGAGCCAGTGTGATGTAGTGGTTAAGGCACCAGGCTAGAAAGCAGAAGACCATGAATTCAAGTCCCACCTTAGCCAAGGATGCCTGCTGGCTTGGCCCAGTGTCTGTCTCTCTCTGTCTGTCTGTCTGTCTCTCTCTCTCTCTCCCTCTCTCTCTCACACACACACATTCCCTCCCTCCCTCTCTCCAAGCCACCTTACAAGCACTTACTTATATTTTTTGAATATTTTCTGAATATTCGTTTTCTGAATAGTTTTTATCCCAGAGCTATAATCGCACTCAACAATGAACTTAAGGACCACCATCAGTGAGCTGTTGGACAGTATTACTTGGTCTGTTGTGTGGATGCTTGTGTGTTTTTAGGAGGCGGGGAATTTTGGCGGGTGTGGAGGTGTTTGGGGATTGTCACGTATGTGTGCATGTTGAGTCTGGTCTCTGGGTGTTGTGTGAAATCTCATTGCATGTGTATACTGTGTACATACGTACAATGGCAATAAAGATTTCAATTCAATTCAATTATATACCGCTTCACAATGCTTCACAGCCCCCTCTAAGCGGTTTACAGAGTCAGCCTTTTGCCCCCCCCAACCATCTGGGTCCTCATTTGACCCACCTCGGAAGGACAGAAGGCTGAGTCCACCTTGAGCCTGGTGAGATTCGAACTGCCAAATTGCGGGCAGCCGGCAGGCAGCAGAAGTAGCCTGCAGTACTGCACTCTCACCACTGCGCCACCGTGGCTCAAGTTGTTGTGGAGAAAATAGGAGAGGAGGAATATATGTTGGATATATTCGTAGCCTCGGGTTGTTCCTAAAAGCAGTAAGGAACACGAAAGAATAAAACACATTATTCAGCCCTCTGGAGACCCCTTTTCAACCTTCCTGAACCTCGACCGCAAGTCAAATGGGCCAGAAATCTGTCACTGGCTACGCTTCCATTCCCTTTGTCCTCTTCTGATTCCTCCTCCTGTCCCCAATTGTCTCAGGGCTGTTTGTAAATCTCTCCCTGGTCCCTGTGATGGGCGGGCTGGCCTTGTGCACCGCGACCGAACTGAGTTTCAACATCCTCGGCTTCTCGGCAGCCTTGTCGACGAATATTATGGACTGGTAGGCACCTCGACAGCTCAAAGGAGGAGGCAGGTGGGAGGTGGGGGGGGGTGGATTTGCACAAACAGCTTCCGTCCTGGCCTTATTTAGACAGGGGGAAACATCTGCAGGGTGTTATTTTTAGCTGTTTGGGCAGGTCTCCCCCCTTCGCTCTTGGCGATTTCCAACCAACTTTTGAAATGAATGTGGCTTCCTTCTCCCTTTTTTTTGTTTTTTGTTTTTGCAGTTTGCAGAACGTTTTCTCCAAAAAGCTGCTGAGTGGGGACAAATACCGTTTCTCGTAAGTATCTGGTCATTCAGCCTTCGCGTGATGGAACAGAAGCTTTTGGGAGGGGTGCGGTGGCCGACGAGGTGGAGCTCACGCCTCCCAATCGGGAAGGCTGCGAGTTCGATCCTAGGCAGAGGCAGGTATTTCTCACTTTGGGCACAATGAGAATATTATCTGCTGAACGAAACTCCGCCCTGGTGACAGGAAGGTCATCCGGCCATGAATCACTCTGCTAGCTCTAGTTCAGTTGCCCGGAAATAATCCCCGCAAGGGTTGATGTAATTGTTAAAAGAAGATGATGATGATTTAATAGGAGCTTTGCCTCTCCGCTCTGAGGGACCAACATTAATTTCTTTGGGTGACCCTTCAAATCCCCAGAATGTTTGGGTTGACTTCATTGATTCCTCTTCGTCCCTCTATCCTTTTTTCTTTTCTTTTTTCTTTTGCAGTGCTCCTGAGCTTCAGTTCTACACCAGCGCAGCTGCTGTGATCATGCTTATTCCAGCTTGGGTCTTTTTCATGGTGAGATGTCCCTCCCACCCGGTACACACACACCCACACACACCATTAGGGAATGAGGTGGCACGTTGCTGTTTATATAAAACAGGCCACAACTGAGATTCTGTCTTGTAGTGTAGTGTAGAAATGCAGGTTTGGGGAATGTTGTAAACGGTTGCAAGTTAGAAGCTGACATTTGGCAGGTGGG